TCTTCTGTGCCCATGCTGGCCTCCTTGTTCCTCAAAACTCACTATGGCAGAATTTTAGGATGGGCCCCAAGATTTCCAGCCCCCCTCCACTCCTGAGTACATGTCCAGGATAATCTCCTGAGCTGCGAACATGACGGAGTTCACCCCTGTAATTTATACATGTGACACAGGTGACTTGAAGATATATTTATCTGGGTGAACCTGACCCAATCACATGAACCCTTTAAAAGTACAGTTTTTTCGATCAAAGAAGAGAAAGTCAAAGGTTTATGCAGGAGAAGGACTCAGCACACCACTGCTGATGTGAAGATGGAGGAGGCCACAGGTTGAGGAATACCAGTGACCTCGAGGCGCTGACGCCAGCAGGGAAGCAAGGAGCTCGGGCTCACAAGTGCCAGGAACTCAACTGTGCCAACAAGAGTGAACTTGGAGGTGGATTTTTCCGAAGAGTCTTCAGAAGAGAACTGAGCCAGACTGATCCCTGATTTCAGACCATACCCTAAGCAAAGAACCAGCGCTCTGTTCTGGTTGGGTGCTGTTTTAAGACACTAAGACTGGGGTAAATTGTTACATGGTGATAGAAATTAGTACACAGGCCAAGCTGGCTCCACTCTGGGCCTTTTCTCTGATGGGTCCCTCTGCCAGGAAGGTTCTCCTGCCTCCCTTCACCCAAGTGGCTCAGATGTCTCCCCAGAGCGGCTGCCTGGCCACACAGCTAGAATAGCAGCACTCTGCCTCGGCTACTCCTCTGTCCACGTGATTCTTCCACATATCACTTATCCCTGCCTGATGCTATATGGCTTCAGTTCCATCTCAATAAATTTTTAAAAACTTTGTATTTTGAAATTTACAGAAGTTGCAAACATTATACACAAATTCCCATATAGATTTCATCCAGATCCCCAAATGTTGACATTTGAACATATTTGCTTTATCTTTCTCTCTTTGTATAAAGAGCCTTTTTTTTTCTGAATCATTTGAGAGCAAACTGCTGACTCCCCTGCCCCCAGACTTTAGTGAATTCTTCTACATAACTACAATAAAATAAAAAATCAAGAGACCATCATTGACACATCACTACCATGTAATCTTCAGACTTGAGTCAAATATTGTCAATTGTTCAATAACAGTCCTTTATAAATAAACAAAAAGATCCACCCAGAAATCCTCATTGAAGTTAGTTGTCTTATCTCTTTTGTCTCCTTTCATCCGATATAGTGTCTTAGTTCTTCCTTGCCTTTCATTATCTTGACACTTACCAAGATTACAGGCCAGTTATTTTGTAGAAAATTCCTTAATTGGAGTTTATCTGATGGCTCCCCATGACTAGATTTAGGATTTGCATCTTTGGCAGGAAAATCACAGAAGTGACTGAGTTCAGTGCTTCCTGCCAGGAGGCATGTCCATTTTGCCCCGTAACTGGTGATGATACCTTTATCAGTCAATTAAGGCAGCGTCTGCCTTGTTTTTCCATTACAACATCACTTTCCTCCCCCTTGTGATTAATACAAATCTTGTGGGGAGACACTTTAAGATTATGTGAATATTCTGTTCCCAACAAATTTTCACACAATTTTCATTTTAGCATTCTGTAATGACTCTTGCCAGAATCCATTACTACTATAATATTTCCATCCTTCTACTTTTATTATTGGCTATTCTACAGTCAGAAAGAACTTTTGCCTCCTCTGTGACTATATATGGATAGATGGATGGATGGATGGATGGATGGATGGATGGATGGATGGATGGACGGACGGATGGATGGATAGATGACATCAGTGTGGTTTCATTGACACCCATTTTTTCATTGGGTTATAATCTGTTATGATAATTATTTATTTTGATAAATTATTATTTATTTTGATTATTTATTTATTTTGTCCATGTCCCAGGAATACTTGTCCCAGGAATACTTCAGTTTGCAATTGACATTACAGCACAGGGAGACACCCAGGAGCACAGTGTACTCTCCCTCTCCCAGCCCTCAAGCTAGCCATTTCCTTGAGGAGCCCCAGTTTCTCTCTGTGGGGGGGTGGTATTTAGAAACTAAGATCTGGGTGCCAGGAGAACTCACTCACTGCTCCACAGAGAGTACTGAGCCTGGGCTTTTTGTGGATCGATGCATGTGGGAAATCCATGTATCACACAAATGCATAATACACACTTGCTTCTATGTTTTTTGACCTATGTTTGTGAAAAGTCATGAATTTATACCAATTCCTCCAATTCCAGCCCAACACGGGGGTCCACGCTAGCCTTCCTTATTTCCATATTTATACTTCTCTTCTCTAACAGTGAGAAATCTGGCGCCCACAGATGACTTATTTGTCCAGTCCTTCATCCCACAGCCTCTCTCAGCGGCCTTCCCTGCTTGGTCCCACAGCCCACCTACCACCTCCAACAAATACTGGGTAGGGGAGCTGGATACTTTTTTTTGAACAGTAATAAAAATTACTAGTATAAAAATAATGGTATAAAATTAAAACTATAGAAAATCACACAGGGACAAGTCTCCCCTCTCATTCCAATCCTCTCTCTGGGTAACACATATTATTAGTTTATTATATATACATGCTAATGGGAAAGCATTTTTTTCTATTTTCCCCTCTTTTACACAAAGTATTCCTCACAATCCCTTTCTTATTTATCAAAACATCTTGGAGATCATTCTGTATCAGAAATGATACATAAAAAGTGGCTCACCCTTTTCAGTGACTACATAGTATGCCTTTGGATAGTCTATACTTCAGTCAATTCATGTGACAAGTCTCTTCCTCAAAGTACCTCAAGTTGATGATTTGAGATATGATAATAGGTAGAAGAATGTGACATCTCAAAGGACCAAGGTTCACATCCAATGGACTTAGAGCATTTATTGAAAGGCTAATCCTTCCCCACTATGCTGCAATGTCACCATTATTGTAATCACTTAGAATTTTTACTATTATTAAAAGAGCTTTTTTAGCATTGTTTTGATAAAACTTCCCACATAGAACTTTTACATTTAATATTTCAAAAGGAAAATAGATTAAAAAAAAAACAAACAAAGTACCTCAAGTTAATATACATTTAACTTTAGTCTAAGAGTTGGTTAGGCCAAACAAAACAGCAATACAGCAATAACCTTGAGTGCATTCATCTCACACATGTCCACACATATGCACAGAATACATTTGCAGAAGTGGGGTTGTTGGTGTGATCTTATGTTTATATGTTTAATGGATGATGGTCTGTCAGCACCAAGAGGAAAGGGACTCTATTCTAACAGTCACTGCTATCTTCCCAGCTCCAGGAACCATTAAAATACAGTAGGCACTCAATAAATATTTGTACTGTAAGTGAATAAATAACTAATGGACCTGACTGACTCTATCAAGTTGGACTTGAGAACCTTCCAAACTCCCTGTGAGATCGGTACTGTTTCAATATCCCTGCTTTACAGATGGGAGGTCTGAGGCCCAGAGAGGGAGCACAAGTAGGCTGATGTCACACAGCAAGTCAACGGCCAATAGTCCCCACCCAGATGAGCCAGACACTGAAGCCACTAACAACCTCAACTCCTGCTTTCCGGGCACCTCCTCTCACCACACACATGCAACTCAGCCCTCCAGCCTCATGTGGACCCCTTGTCTTGCCTCAGGCACTTCCCTGGTCCCATCTACTTCCCAGCCTTACCCCCAGCCAAAGGGGCTTGCTCCCCCTCAGCCAACATGGGACAGGATGTAGGAAAGGAGCTGTCATTTCCATACAGCTGTCCCTGGGAGCCAGGCCTTCCCCAAGCCCCCCCATTTTCCCTGAAAAGGCTGAATTGTCTTGGCCATTTGGGGGGCACCTCTCGGCATAGGCCGAGCTGCCTGGGCAGGGCCTGGCTAGGCTATTATCCTACATTATCTCACTCCCCTGCTCCTGAAAAGAACCAGTGACTGCTTGTCCCCCTCAGCCCTCCCCTGCCCGCTCCTGTCTTTTACACTTAATTACCTCACTCATTACCCTGCAGCCTGCAGAGGCCGGACCACAACTGGGGCGTGAGTAATCCCCGCATCACACACACCCAGCCAGCCTGCAAGGAGCAAATTGCTCACACAGCCCATAAATAAAGGAACAGGACCACTCAGGCCTTCAGAGCAGAAGGACCCTCGTGGAGGCTGCTGTGACAGGCCAGCTTTGGCCCCAGCTTCCTGGCTAGCCTTTGCCAGCGCTGGGGAAATGGTCTCCTCCTCCCCCACCCCAGACGGTGACCTTGAACTTCCCCAGGCCACTGAAGTCACAGTTCAGTGCCACTGACAGATGGGGCAGCAGGGGTCCACACCCCTCTCTCACCACAACCAAGGGACTGCCCAAGCATGGCTTTGAAGCTTCCCGCATGACCCCTCCAGCCACCTCCTATCACCTTCACCTCCACACTGAATGTTTGCCAAGTCCCCTGTGTCCTTCCCCCACCCACCCAATGCCTTTGTACATACTGTTCCTGCATTTAAACACTCTACCTTAGCAATCTGGTTAATTCCTATCATTGAAGAAGTCACCTCCTCTGGGGAGCCTTACCTGACTCCAGGCTGGAACCTCACGAACTTTCTCCCAGCAAAGCATCAGGGTTTTATATTGTTGCTGTCTTTCTGCTGTATCTTTTGAAGGCAGGACTGACTCTTACACATCAGCCTTTGCCTAGTTCCTAGTCCAGGTCCTGGCACCTTACTAAGCCATTTACTAGGCCAGTAAATATACATGAGTAAATGAATGAGTGCATGAGTGAATGAGTGATGTCTGGTAAGCTGGATAAAGAGGTTGGACATAGTCCTCCACCTGTCATGGGTTCCCTCCCCACCCCCATGCTACAGACTCCTGGAATCCAAGGCCTCTTAAGTCATAAGGATGATCGACCTGGAACCTCTTGGTCCTCTGGGAGGTCAGACTCAGACTCCCTCCTTTGTACAGCTTAGGAAACATCAACTTGCCACCACTGTCATGAGGTGGTCCAGCCTTGGCCCAGAAGTTACCTGTACAACCTCTTCTCCATCAATTCTAAGGCTTCTGCTGGTCCCATCATGTCAGGGCACAGGAATTGGCTGTGTGGTCAGCTTCTCCTGGTCCAAAGGGCTTCATCTCATTCTCTGCTTCCCCCCAGATCCAGGATAAGGGAAAGACCCTGGAAAGAGGGCAAAGAGTTCATGAAACTTCAATACCAGGTGACACCAATGGCCCCTTGCTCAGAGTAATGCTTTAAATTAAAATAAAATACATGGTTTTGTAAAGGAAATCAATTATATTGAAACAGTTATCAAACTATTAAAAGCAAATACATATTATAGCAATCAATACATGTGCTACTTTATTACATAACACAAAATTTAGCAAACGACTACTGTAATTTCCAAGTCATGATGAACTTAAATGACATTTCAAGATATCTAGAACATCTGTAATATGGTAAGAAAATATCTAATTCTATTAGTGAATAAGTCACAGATCCTAATATGACTGTGGGCTGTTGTCTGTTTCATCACTGAAGGAATGATAAGTAAGGAATAAGTAAGTGAAATTAAATATGCAATACTTTTCCTATCCAAGTTAATGGTGGACTTCCTGAATTCTTTCTATGGGCCCCATGTTAAGAGCACCTGTGCTAGGGAATGACCAGAACTTCATGAACATCCTAGTGCTCCGCTTCCGTATCTTGGCAGACATCATTAATCAGTTATAGCAGCCTTTCCTGCTAAACCAAAGCTCAGTTCCAGGATCTATTTCAACACCATGCCCCAGGCAACTGCTTCCACCAATCAAAATGGGCTCTTGCGCTGTAATCAATTTGCCTTTCCTGGGGGGTAGGAAAGGGGGACAATGATGTTGTGAACATGAGATTAAGGAGAAAGGGTAGGAAAATGAGGTGTTGCTATAACACGGAAGGGAAGGGTTGTGAAAACAAAACACTTAATGTATGGCATCAGGGCAAACAGTCACTGAAAAGCTTATGAAATAGCTGGTCATGTTATTAGAAGCCCAATATCTAGAGTGAGGGAGGTGACAATCTTTTTCTGCTCAGCTTTGCTCAGGTATTTCTGGGATTTCTGTATTCAGTTCAGAGCTCTGTACTTTCAGAAGAACAATAAAAAAGCAACCGAGGTGGGCATATGTATGGAGCCACCTCCTGTGCCACTTACTTGGTCATATCATGAACACAAACTGAGACTTTCTCTGACATTGTGTTACGAGCTGGGGACACAAATGGTCTGAGAACAGTGGAAAGAACTGGATATCTGCAGATCTCTGAAGGGCCTCTTGGGCCAGAAGGATGGAATTTATGAGATTCTACTTAATATGAGAAAAATACCAGCCCTGGAGTTTCCAACAAGGGCATAGGCTGCTAAATCATCCAGGATCTATGGCCACATACATACCTGAAAAATCTCCAAGCAGGTCAGAAACCAGGATTGTATGCTTTAGCTCCAGGGAAAAAAAGTCTCAAATTAGGCCAAAGTTCTGTTCTGCAGGAGACTCTTCTGCTAGAACCATGAGGCCCCATGGCCAGGGCACACACTGCAGACACTGGCACTGGATGCTGACACCCAAACAGCTGTCTCCACTGCCTTGGGACATCAATGTAAAGGCTGCTACACTCCAGCCAGAATGGTGCAGGTGACCTGGGCCACATGACCACTGCTGGCTGCTGAGGGAGAGGGAAGGCCAGCACTGTGCTAGTGAGAAGAGGGACTCACAAGGCAATGGTGTCAGAGGATGCTGGACAGATAACCAATCCAGTCACCCAGGATCAAGTGCTTCTGGTGTGCCTGGCTCAGTGCTCAGGACCCTGCACATCCATGTCTCTACTCCTCAGCTCGGGGGGGTGTGCTGCGCTGGTTAATGCCCTTTCTACAGGTGACAAAAGGGAGGCACAGACCATCTAAGCCATTTGCCCTATTCTTTTAAGTGCTCCATAGAGGCTGATCAGCTGGGACAGAGAAATCATTGTCTACTTTGAAGCTGGCCCAGGCAGTGGAGCCCTAACGTACCACCCATCCTGGCATCTCAAGGACTCCAGACTGAGTCAGCCACAGCAATTTGAGAATGGATTCCCCTGTCCTTACCAAGTACCTGCTGCAGGCTGGACCCTACACAAAAGTCATTGCCACCAAACAGTCTTCCCTCTTTGACAAACCCATCTAAACAGTCCACAATCTGTGCCTTCCTGGTGGTCTAGGGGTTAAGTCTCAGCCACTATGGCCTGAGTACGATCCCCAGCCACATGGCGCAGCAAACCTCTCCTGTCTTGCCCACTGCTCCCCTCAGCAGTGTATTTCAGTAGATCCACCTTTCTGCTCCCCACCCTGTCTCTGGTGAATCCTCTCACCCCACGCACCTCTGGCCTACACCTCAGTTCTACGTTAAAAAAAAAATTAAAGATTTAAAAAATAAACAGTCCACAATCTGCTCTATCTTTGTCCCATGTTACTTGTCTTCCTAATGCTTTGTACATAAAAGCTGCCTAGTCACCAACAGGTTTATCATTAACCTTCCCAGCAGGATGTGAGCTGCATGAGGGCAGGTTTTGTCTGGGTCAATGCAATGTCCCCCGCTCTGGGTATAGCGCCTGGCACTGCTGGTTAGCAATCTCTGTAGACTTCCAGGCTGTGAGCCTTTGGGTAATTTCTTTTCTTTTTTTTTTTTTCAATTTGGCCATTTTTTAAAAAGATTTATTCATTTATGCACACAAGAACTGAGGTGCAGGCCAGAGGTGGGGAGGGTGAGAAAATTCACCAGAGAGGGCCTCAAGTATTCCAGTGATGGCAGTCACAGAGGAGCTTCTTAGGACTCAAAGAGGTCGACTGGAGAGGGGGGACTGAGCTAACATGGCTGATGGCTGATGTTGCTGAACATGGACATGTACAAACTGGTGTCCTAAACAGCACATTGATTTCTCGCCTATCTGAGGTAGCTACGAACATCCCCCCTGACAGCCATTGAAACTGAGGTACAAAGAAGGTAAGTAATTGCTGGGGTAGATAACTTGTTACTAAGTAATAAGAGTTACTTAGTACAAAGTACTGAGAGGCAGGATTTGAATCCAGGCCACCCATGCTTTTAATCCCCATGCTTCCCCCATGCCTAGAGCTGGAGGCAGGTGGAGGGAGGCTGAGAAGGTGGTCTGGGGGCATGTGGATGTTCTGACTCCTTAGGAGTCTGTCCACCCACCAAGAATGGGGTCAGGCAAGGGTCAATATTGACAGCCCCCTGCCTCCATGCACCTGGGCCACCTCCTGGCTTTCTCCAGAAGCTGATGGGTTCCAGCTGGTGTATGAGCAGAGGCGGGGAGCAGGAGGCAGAGCTGGGGGTGCTGAGAGGGGTTGATTCCTCTGTGCCAAGAGCCCTGGGAGCCTGGGAATGCCAACTCTGCAACTCAGACAGCCGCCTTAGCATCTGCCAGAGATGGTTCTGGACTCGGCTGGTAGGGAAAAGAAACAGGCAGGAGAGGCCACAGTGAGGTAAGAGAGCCAGCCTTGTTCTGGCAGTCAGGAGCCTGAAAGCCCAGAAAAGGCACTCCCCTATCTGGGCCTCAGCTTTCCCAGTTGTGAAGTAGGGGATGGGAGGAGATGACATATCCCAAAGACTATTCATGTAGAGCTTCCATTTATCAAAAACTATGCTCCGGGCCTCACAGAGCCCCATTTAGCAGGTGCTATCATTGACTTCAGTCTGCAGAGGTGAAACAGAGGCACCAAGAGGCAAAGTGACTTGCCCAAAGTAACAGAGACACAGAGAGGCAAAGTGACTTGCCCAAAGTAACAGAGACACAGAGAGGCAAAGTGACTTGCCCAAAGAAACATAGCTTAAAAAGGGGGAAACTGGATGAAAACTTGACTCGGGATGACCCAGGCCCAAATTCTGAACCATCTCACCTGCTCAAATATGGGGCACTTATACAGAGGCCCCCTTATAGTCACTCTATCCCCAATCCATACTAGGGGTCCGTCCCAAGTTCCTTGACCCACTAGAGAGGCTGGTGATCAGACTCCTCAGCCAATCTTTTCTAGAGGTTTCAAGAAGATGCTTAAGGTGTGACCTTGTAATGGACAGGGGTTAGCTTGCGAGGAATACTTTAATGGGGGAATGTCAAGGTCTATGATAGTCAGGAGAGGGACTTAATTATCCCCTGAAAGAAGAGGGAAATCTTAAGGGCTGACAAACCAACCTGAGCTCAGGCCACAGCAGACCAAGGTGAATGTGGATCTCAAGAAGGCATTCACTCATTATTCATGAATCGATTCATTGATTCAAGAGCTGTATTTATTGAACACTTACTATGTGTCCAGCACTGTGTAGGTAATTGTGGCAGTTAATGGGGCAGATCTGGGCCCTCACTTGAGGGCACTTAGCCCTAACAGGGGCATTGGTGCCTTTGGTTCTCTTACAGATGGGACTTTGTCATTTTAAGATCAGCTCTTTGCAGCCAGACAGCCTCGTTTAAATCCTGGCACTTAGGGCTCCTTGAGCAAGTCACCTTGCCTCTCTGAGCCTTGGTTTTCTCATCTGCAATTTGGGGTTAGCAGTAGGCCCCACTTTCCAGGTTGTTGTGATGCTCAAAGGGTTGGATTTGACTCCTGCTACATCATCAGTGCTTAGCATTATCATCACCTGGGGCTTTGAAACATGTTTCTTCCCACCAATTATCATTCCTGTTGGGCTCAATTCTGGGGTCCAGCAGGGAAGCAATGGAAAGAAATTTAACTAAGCAAAGAGGGTATGGGAGGAGTGCTCTGGAGAGCAGGAACATTATATGAAAAGGCCAGGAGGTGGAGACTTTGAGGGAACAGGATAGAAGCTTCAGGAAAGTCTGGGAGCCCCCAACTAACCCAGTCAGCCCCTTCCTGAAATCTATTGAGGCTCTGAGGTCCTGCGCACAAAAACAATGAAAATGTAGAGGTTCCCAACAATTCTGCAGCTGCAGAGGAGGCAGCATGTAGGATGGTCAGAGCACAGCCTCCCAGCAGCCCAAGGATAACCACCAACTGGCTGCCTAAGACAAGTTGCTTAACCTCTTTGGGCTCAGTTTTCTCCTCTGTAAAAGGGAACTAACAATGCGATCTGCCTCACAAAGCGAGCATGAGGATTAACTAAGGTAATATTTGTAAAGTACACCCATCAGTACCTGGC